AAGTGGTAGAGGTTAACACAGTAAAGGAGTTTAAGCATGCGTGGGATAGGCATAAGGCTATCCTAACTATAAGATAAGACTAGGGACTAATGAAAGTATTTAGAAAATTGGGCAGACTAGATGGGCCGAATGGTTCTTATCTGCCGTCACATTCTATGTTTCTATGTTTCTATGTTTCCCTCTGCGCCACTTATTGGTGCCGGGAGCCGGAATATGATGTCACTTCTATATATTTCAAGTTCAGGGCTCTCAAATATCCCTGAATATCATAGGGGCTTTTGATAAACACTTAGGACACCATGCTTCATCTAAGGTCTCTGGACTGAAATCCCATGCTTCGTCTAAGGTCTAAACTAAAATCCCCCAAAATAAGCAGATAGTGTTACGGAAGCTCACGTGCTGTAGCCTCCTGGAGAGGCTTGAAGGCTTGCCTCCTACCCACAGACTATAGGCCCGTGTCATCAGCTTTAAAATTAGGTATAGCATGTGGGGGTACATTCAGTGGTGTATCCTGGTTTTGTGCAGTCTCACGTTAGCAATTCAGAAATGAAGGTCTGGCTATGGGTATTTGGGGACTCTCAGTCTGTGTTAGACTGCACAAAACCATTTTTTTAAAGCACGAGAATACAGTGCCAATAACCTGCTGGCACTATAAACACTATAGCAGGTACTAGTGGTTATGGTACTTAGCACATCCATTTAAAGGACCACTATAGTGCCTCCCACCGGCCTCTAGGGTGAGGAAGGGGTTAATCCCTTACCTTTTTTCCAAACTCTTCTCCTTTCCCGTCATCGGCTGAATGCGCATGCGTGGTAAGAGCCACGCGCGCATTCAGCCAGTCCCATAGGAAAGCATTATCAATGCTTTCCTAAGGAAGCTGGCATCTTCTCACTGTGAAAATCACAGTGAGAAGCACGGAAGCGCCTCTAGCGGCTGTCAATGAGACAGCCACTAGAGGCTGGATTAACCCTATTGTAAGCATAGCAGTTTCCCTGAAACTGCTATGTTTACAGCAGAAAGGGTTAATCCTAGATTGACCTGGCACCCAGACAACTTCATTAAGCTGAAGTGGTCTGGGTGCCGATAGTGGTCCTTTAATGTATTTTGGCTATAAAATAACACATGCACAGTATTCATTTTATATATAATGGTTGTCTCCTGTGTACTTTCAGGTTGTCAGTACTGTAAATGTTTATTATTATGCTAATGTACATATATAGATCTTTTATCCATCAACGCCACAAAATGTAAATTAACACGATGTGGGTCAATAATAAAAAAATATATTCTTTATATTTAGTATTTTGGATTCACTGTGCCATTGTTATTTGGTATAGGAAACATAGGTTTCATAGATTTTGTTTGTTGAGTTTTCAAGTGAAGATGAATTTAAAGTGAGATTAAATATGCTAGTGAATATTTATCATTCACATTACATAATGCACTTAGCTCAATTTAACATTATTAAAAAATCAATACAAAAATTAAATGTTTTCTATTGATGTATTGATGTAGCTGTCTTGATGCTCATTACTTTTGTCACATTGTTCTATGACATAAAATAAATAAATAGGGAATTAGTACAAATCTTTAAAATCCAAATTGTTTTTAAAAATGTATGGATGGATTTATTTTTATTTTCTCTCTGTTTATGTAAGTCAACAAATGTTATTTTAGAACACTATGACCTACCAAGTAGCAAATAACATGGCAAGAAAAAAAAATTATGATTGATGGTGCTACAACCATTTGCCTGTTATCTCGGCAGGAGGTACAAAGATTGAGCGAGAATTGAGGATAGAAGATGTTATGTTCTTCTATTTTAGGTCTTAAAAATCTTAACCAAAGAAATATCTGATAAACTTCAAGGAAAATATGGATTGTTGCTCCAAGAAAATAAAAGAGAATGGTAAATGGATTCACATGGATGCCTATAGTATAAAATCTTACGTCCTGCATAAAAAAAAAGAAAGAAAATAGCAATAAAAGAAAATCTAATTAAAAACAAAAAATGCATGTGCATAAATAGTATACAATAAACAAGTAGTATTATGACCACAATATTTAATTTAGTACACACTGCAATGTGTACAAAAAAATACCTTGAACAACTTATCTGAAACATGGCTATCCTTATAGTTCTAAGCTTGGAACAATGTTGTATTTCTATAAAGATAGCTCTGGTGTTTGTAGAGAACAGTCAGTCCCAATGTTCAAGATCATATATTCAAAGCAGGAACATGCGTCTAATGATGTGCTTGCTCCACGCTTTCCAATGACTGTCTCCTAGCAGTTACTTGTCCACTCCTCTCCTAACCTTTTTACGAGCAGGCAGACGCTCCTGTTATACAGTCTGGGACAGAGAAAAAATTTATGTAGTGAGTGTAGAAGAAAGGGAATATGCCACAGTGTTAACGAGACTGAAGCAGCAAGAGCGTTTGCATAGTCAGCTTTACCTTAACTAATTTCATTGTCAGCCAGTCCACACCAGTTTTGTTCCTCTATATCCCTCTTAAGTTTTCGTTCTTAAGCACGAGCAAGTGAAGAGTAGTAAATAAAATAATTTTTTATAATTTTTTTTAAATTAATGGGATCCTGGGCCTAGAGCTGCACCTCCATCAGCCCCTATGTTAATCTGGCCCTGAGTATTGTATTTAGCATGTTCAAGTCCCATGTTAATGATACTGTGAAGTAGCGGTGGGCTTAACACTAAATTGCTGTATGGCATAACTAAATCCCCATATGTGTTTGCTAAGATACATGATTTTTAGTAGCACTGTAAGAATTAAAACATACTTTCTGGGTTTTTTTTCTGTGTGCCCTGTTTCCTTAATCCCTTAAGGCTGGAGGTAATTGTCCATGGTCCGAACCAAAACTAAATTTTGAATTTGAACTACAGGTGGGTTCCACTGTAATTTAAGGGTTTCTCTTCAATTGCCCCACATACATAATATATATCAACCTACAAAATTAAGCCCTGCGCTCAAATTCCCACTACTCCTGGCCGGATGCAATGACTATAGTGCACATCAGCCCCAATACATACATAAACAAAAACCAAAGAAAATAGTTACTTGCTCACTATCCCAAAATATCTATGCACATTTAAATAACTGAAGGTTTTTTTAGTATCCCTCCAATATTTAACCCCTTAAAGCTGTTAAGACGTTCTATGCCGTCCCACATTTAATGGGCTTTAAAGCCATTGCGGCGGCATAGAATACCGTAACGGCTTTGAGCCCTTGAGCCGCCGGGATACTCACCTTCCCGGTGATCTGCTTCGGGAGGACTGTCTAACAGCCCAAGCAGCCCTCCCATGGCAAAGCAGTCCCTGAGGGCCATGTGATCGCTCTCAAGGAGTGATCACATGGTAATAGCTGCCTGTGAATCTGCCAGCAGAGGTACTAACTGCAGGTGGCAAAAGTGAAAAAAAAAATTAGTACACATAAAAAAAAAAAATATATATATATATATATATATCTTATATATGTAACTTCATACTTGGTGTATTTTAATGTTGATATAATTTCATATATTAGTATTAAACTTACACTTAGAATGAAATTACATATATAAGATATAAATATATAAATATATATAAAATTTAATTCTAATTTCATTCTAACTGTATTTCAATATTAATATATATATATATATATATATATATATATATGTGTGTGTGTGTGTGTGTGTATATATATATATTACAGACCAAGAATCAGAAAATCACTAACTTTAACAATGGACTATACTTCTGGAGAATCTGCATCGGACACAGAACCCAGCGGTCAACTACAAGATAACACTACACAAAGAAATATAACAGTGTGACTTTTTCGGAGCCAGGTTTGGGCCTCACCAGGGAATTGATACAACCCACTCTACGTCTACAAGATACAGACGACACAAGCCAACCTTCACTCACAACAGACATATCAGGAGAGGCCATAGGGGGAAGACGTACCGGCACCAGAGAAAGACGAAGACCACCTCTCAGGTAAATGACAACCCCTTTATTAACCTATCCAAAAGAGTATTATCTAAAGTAGAGACCAATCTTCTATCTAAAGGTGTTTCTTTCATACCAATGACTTTGAATGGAAAATAGACAAATACAAATTTCTACGTAAATTGAGACTTGCTTATTATTTAAAATCCAGACCTGATATGTCTATAAACACTGATGAAAAAACTATGAAACTTCACAGTTTATTTGACCCACCCAGCAACAATGCCTCCCTAAAAGTCTTTGCCCAGAACTTAAAGACAGACAGCAAAACTTTGCTAATAAAAACCAGACAGGGAGCGAACAACTCTAAACAAGAATCGGACACACTGAAAAGTCTGGCGATGAAGTTATCCCTGGTTATTCACCCAGCCGACAAAGGTGGCGCCATTGTTCTCATGCAATATGAGGACTATAAAAAATAAATTTTAAGACAACTTTCAGACAACAATGTGTACAAAGTGTCAGATCAAGATCCTGTCATGGAATTCAGCAAAATGAGATCATACAACGAGGGGTTGACCACCACTACATCACACAAGATGAGTATGAGTATTTTTATAAAACCCACCCAAGATGTCCCATCTTATATGCATTATCCAAAGTACACAAAGACCTTAATCATCCACCGGGTTGTCCGGTCGTATCTGCCATTGGAAGCTTACTGGAGCCCATCGGTAAATGGCTTGACAAGCTGTTTAAACTTCCAGTTATGGCTCTACCTGTGTGAAAGACAGTGGCGAGGTCATAGCAAAACTCAAGAACATCTCTATAACCACTGAAGGTATTCTCCTAGCTACCATAGATGTATGCAGTCTATACACTATTATCCCTCACCAAGAAGGCATACAAGAGATGGAAGAAGTCCTATGGAACTTCCACAAAAGTACAAAACCTCCCTTACGTTACATACTGGAACTTTTTCATCTGAGCCTGACATTGAACTATTTCAGGATTGAATCTAAATTCTTCATACAGCACTCGGGTACCTCGATGGGGGCACCTATGGCTCCCATGTACGCAAACGTGTTTATGTATACATATGAAAAAAGACATATTCTCACACAGTATGGAGAACATTACTTCCGTTTCATCAACGACATCCTCCTTCTTTGGATTGGCAGCACTGAAGAATTCAACTTGATGATGCAAAATCTCAACTCTCTACCCTCCCCTGTAAGGTTCATATTTGAAACCAGTACCACACACATTAACTTCTTGGACTTACAAATTTTTGTTACAGGGAAACAGTTTAGGGATACACTCTGCTCCAAACCTACCGACAGCAATACTATTCTTCACGCTTCAAGCTTTCATCCAACGAATTTGAAAGACTCTCTACCGATATTCCAGTTCATCAGAGTCTTACGCAATAACTCTGATCATTACATTGCAGAAACACAAATCAAAGATATGTTTACAAAATTCCTAACCAGAGGATACTCTAAAACATGTTTGAACTTGGCATACACCCGAGCTGTCAAATCTATCACAGAAAACAAGATCCATCAAGCCAACGGTGAACGATTCATCTTCCCTCAAGCATTCCACTCTGAATCATGAGCAGTAAGCACTAGCATCTGTGAAAATTGGACCACCTTGTATAGAGATCCATCACTACCTCTACCCTTCCAAGTATATCTGATCATGAGTTACAGAAAGGGTAAGAATCTAAGAGATTACCTGGTACATACCGACCAGATCACAAGGACTCAATCACTTACCATAACTCCCAAAGCGGGTTGCTACAGATGTTTAAACTGCATAGCCTGCAACTCCATGATAATTTTGCCACCCGAGATCGGGCAAAACTTACAAAATTAAACATTATTATTATTATTATTTTTATTATTGCCATTTATATAGCGCCAACAGATTCCGTAGCACTTTACAATTTTATGAAAGGGGATTTAACTATAAATAGGACAATTACAAATAAACTTACAGGAACAATAGGTTGAAGAGGACCCTGCTCAAATCGAGCTTACATTCTATAGGAGGTGGGGTGTAAAACACATTAGGACAGGAATGTGCAATCAAATAAGGTGGGCTGCCCTTTAGGAGAGGGCAAGAGACGGGTATGTGAGGTAGGGGTTAGTCTTGGAGGCCATAAGCTTTCCTAAAGAGATGGGTTTTAAGGCACTTCTTAAAAGATGCAAGACTAGGGGAGAGTCGGATGGCGGTAGGCAGGCTATTCCATAGGAAGGGAGCCGCCCGCGAGAAGTCCTGCAAGCGCGAGTTGGCCGTACGGGTGCGGACAACGGACAGGAGGTGGTCACGGGCAGAGCGGAGAGACCGAGAAGGGACATACCTGTGGATCAGTGAGGAGATATAAGAGGGGCTAGAGTTGTTCAGTGCTTTATAGGTGTGAGTTAGTGCCTTGAATTGACTCCTATAGCACACAGGAAGCCAATGTAAGGACTGGCAGAGGGGTGAGGTGTGAGAGAACCGACTAGAGAGGAAAATCAGTCTAGCAGCAGCATTCATTACAGACTGTAGGGGTGCAGTACGGCTTTTGGGAAGACCAAGCAGGAGAGGGTTACAATAATCCATGCGTGAAATTATTAGAGCATGGACAAGCTCCTTGGTAGTATCTGGTGCAAGAAAGGGGCGGATGCGGGCTATGTTTTTAAGATGGAATCTACAGGATTTGGCAACATGCTGGATGTGAGGCTCAAAGGTGAGACCAGAGTCAAGTATGACGCCAAGACAGCGCGCTTGCAAGGATGGGCTGATGTTGGTACCACAAACTTGAAGGGAGAGCGAGAGAGGAGGATCAGTATTAGGAGGAGGAAAGACAAGGAGCTCAGTTTTTGAGAGATTGAGTTTCAGAAAGCGGGAGGACATCCAGTCAGAGATGGAAGAAAGGCAAGCAGTGACACGTTGCAGGACAGCAGGGGAGAGGTCCGGGGAGGAGAGATATAGCTGGGTGTCATCAGCGTACAGGTGGTAGTGGAAACCAAATGAGGTAATAAGTTTGCCAAGAGAGGCAGTGTAAAGAGAAAATAGAAGGGGACCAAGGACGGAGCCTTGGGGGACTCCAACCGAGACAGGGCGAGGGGAGGAGGTATCATTAGAAAAAGAGACACTGAATGAGCATTGGGAGAGATAAGAGGAAAACCACGAGAGGACAGAGTCACAGAGACCAAGCGATTGCAGAGTTTGAAGAAGGAGAGCATGATCAACGGTGTCAAAGGCCGCCGAGAGGTCAAGAAGAATTAGTATGGAGTAGTGGCCTTTGGATTTAGCTGCGATTAGGTCGTTAGTAACTTTGATAAGGGCAGTCTCTGAAGAGTGGAGAGGGTGGAGGCCAGATTGAAGGGGGTCAAGGAGAGAGTTGGAATTGAGGAAATGAGACACACGGGTAAAGACGAGTCTTTCCAGAAGCTTTGAGGAAAAAGGGAGCAGGGATATGGGACGGTAGTTAGAGGGGGTGGATGGGTCAAGGGATGTTTTTTTTAGTATAGGTACTACAGTGGCATGTTTAAGGTCAGCAGGGACGATGCCAGAAGAGAGCGAGCAGTTGAAGATGTGTGTTAGAGAAGGCACGAGACAAGCGGAGAGAGATCTGATAAGGTGAGACGGGACAGGATCGAGCGGGCAAGTGGTGGGGTGAGAGGAGCAAAGAAGAGCAGCCACCTCTTGGTCAGTGGCTGGGGAGAATGTCTGAAGGGTAGGAAAGGCATGATCAATGTGTGATTGAGAAACAGAAAGGCAAGGAGGGGAGAATTCTTTCCTTAGCTTTTCAATTTTGTCAGTGAAGTAACATGCAAAGTTATCAGCAGTAAGGTTGGTTTGGGGGGTGGCCACAGCGGGGCGAAGAAGAGAATTAAAGGTGTCAAAGAGACGCCTGGGGTTGCGGGAACATGAACTAATGAGAGAGGAAAAATAGGACTGTTTGGCAAGGGCAAGGGCTGCACTGTATGAACACAGTATGAATCTATAATGGAGAAAGTCTGACTGGGTGCGAGACTTCCTCCAGGAGCGTTCAGCACACCGGGAGCATCTTTGCAGGTAGCGCGTTGATTTAGTATGCCACGGTTGGGGGCGGGTCCTCCTTGAGGTGCTTGCTTGGAGTGGCGCTGCAGTGTTCAAGGCAGATGTAAGAGTAGAGTTATATATGGAGATGGCCAGTGAAGGACAGGATAGGGAAGGGATGGACAGCAGTTGTGGATCAATGTTAGCTGACAACTGTTGGAGATCAAGAGAATTAAGGTCCCTCCTGAGTTGAGGCTGGTTAGGTGGAGGTTGTTGGGTGAGGGGGTACGTGAGAGCAAACGATAAGAGGTGGTGATCAGAGAGAGGATAGGGAGTGTTGCAGATATTAGATACCGTACATGCATAAGTGAAGATTAGGTCGAGGGTATTGCCAGCAACATGGGTGGGTGAATTTGCCCACTGTGATAGCCCGAGGGAGGAAGTAATTGAAAGTAGTTTATTGGCTGCAGAGGTCAAAGGTGGGTTTATAGGAATATTGAAGTCCCCGAGAATTAGGGATGGGATGTTAGAAGAGAGGAAATAGGGTAGCCAGGCAGCAAAATGGTCAAGGAAGAGAAGAGGGGAACCAGGGGGACGGTAAATAACAGCAATGTTAGCAGCGAAGGGTTTGAAAAGGCGAATTGAGTGTATTTCAAATGATGGGAAAGAGAGGGAAGGGGGGGTGGGAAGAGGTTTAAAAGAGCAGTGAGGGGAGAGGAGAAACCCAACACCACCACCTTTACATTCAGAGTTTCTTGGGGTGTGGGTAAGTTGGAGACCACCGAAGGACAAAGATGCAGGGGTGGCAGTGTCAGAGGGGGAGAGCCAGGTTTCTGTTAAGGCTAGTAAATCTATTGAACGAGAGATGAAGTAGTCATGGACAGCAGTGGATTTAGTTATATTGGAAACAGAGCGTGCGTTCCAGAGGGCAGTATTGAAGGAGGAATTAGAGGAACAAGAGATGGGTATGAGATTAGTGTGGATCCTTGGGTTAGTATGTGCTGAGTTTGTTGAGAGGGGACCGGGGTTTGGAGAGACATCACCAGCTGCTAGGAGCAGAAGGATAGAAAGGAAGTGAAGGTGGGAGTAGGATTTGAAAGTTTTGTAGGAGGGTATGTATGTGGAGGATTTGGAAAGAGTCGGTGGAGATAGGCTGGAAAGGTATGTGTAGAGTGCATGGGATGAATAGAGAGGGGAGGGGAGTAAGGTGGAAGTAATGACGATGGTGTTGCCAGGGACAGGTGAGTGAAAGGATAGGGATATTTTAGTAATGACAGAAGTTAGTGTTAATGTGAAAAATAGAAGGGAGAACATTAGAGAAAATTTGTATATAGATATGTAGATTATATATACAAACACACAATATCAATATCAATAAGTGTTTAAACTATTGTAAGGATGCAGTGTGTTAAATGAATTCAGGTGAGGAGTGGATTAATGACTTGATTGGTGTGTTATGGAAACCTGCTGATGTGCACTATCTATAAATAAGTTGATGACTATGGGGTGGGATGGTGTGGGGAGGGGGGGGGTGGGCAATCTTCCAGAGATAATATCTCTGCTCTGAAGATTCAGCAGGACTTGGTTGCTTGGGAGTGCTGGGTGTTAATGCTGTTTTAAGGGGCCCAGTCTGAAATATAAGGTCTGTGGTTAGAAAAAAAATGAAATAAAACACACTGTTATGGGTGGGGAGACATGGGGCTATTGAGGTAATTAATTAGAGATGAAAAACTAAAAGGAGAGAACATTTGGGATAAAAAGATAGGAAGGATCACATGCACAACCACCCACGTAGTCTACAGGATTGTGTGTCCCTGTGGCCTCACATACGTGGGGAAGACATCTAATGATCTGAGAGAGAGAATGCGAGGGCATAGATCAACTATTCGTAGTGCCCTACTTAGCAGCACAGCTAGCATCCCAGTATCCTGACATTTCCTTGATAGGGGACATAACCTTGCCTCACTACGCTTCATGGGCATTGATCATGTGCCCATTTCGCCCAGGAGTGGTAATCGGGATATAGCACTGCTTAAGAGAGAAGCATTTTGGATTTACACCCTGGGCACTATATCTCCCACTGGACTGATTGAGAAAAAGATGAACATTCTCTATACCGCTGAACAACATACAGATATTTGTTTTTTGTATAAAATTGATATTATGTATAATGTGATATCCTGTACAGTATGTATGTCTATGATCCCTTGCTGCCACTCCTACGTGAACAATAGTGCCACATTAACATGTTACAATTCCATAAAAGTATATTGCATCTACTAGGACCTATGTATACTTTCTTTCTTATATGCAACATTGTTATACATATTTCGATGGGCACTATTTCTCTCACTATACCCTTACTTCGGTATCGGGTCTATACCTTGTAAATATTTTGTATATATATTCTGTATATATCCTATGTTTCCCTTCAATGTAGTATTACTCTGTCTCTTTGTATATACACAGGATTAATTTCACATCTTATGTAGTCTACACCACTGGCGGATCCGGGGGAGGGGGGGCAATGGGGCAATTGCCCCCCCCCCGAGATTCTCCCCTGCAGGCTAATGCAGGGCTGGCAT